TTTCTGGCGTTTCTCCTATCTGCCTACTAAATCCTGCCTCAGTGGAACGTCTAATCCCCACTCCTGGACTGTCAGGTTCTGCCCACCTGGCATCTATCTGCATTTTTGACTAGCATGTCCACAGCCTCCAGTGAGTCCTCCAGCTGAGGCACTACTGACATTTGGGGCCAGATCGCTCTTTGTTGTGTGGTTGGCTGTCCCGTGCACTGTAGGACATCCAGCAGCATCCTGCTTTTACCCACTAGATGCCAATAGCATCCTCCTCCCCAGCTGTGACAACCCAAAATGTCTCCAGAGTTTGCCAAATGTCCCCTGGAGCTTTCGTCTTAGCTGTGCATTCAAATCACTTGGGAAGCTTTATTTGAAACACCAATGCTTGGGCCCCGCCCCACTTAATTACTTAATTACCTCTTAAGGAAACCAGAAACTCTAAGGATGGTTACTTGATAGCAATGTTGTTCAAAGTGCAGCCAGAGTGGAGAAGCACTCATACCCTCTCATCAGAATCATCTTTCTAACATGTAAACCGGCTCACTTTATTCATCCCTGATTCTAAAACATCAAACAGCTTCTCGCCGAACACAAGAAAGCATCACGCTCCTTAGAAAAACACATGAAGACCCCAGTTCTGGGCCTTTCCTCACTCCCAGCCTTTCATCTGTCGACCTCCAGCTCACCCTGAGCCAGCTGTCCCAACCCCTAGGAGTGTCCCAAACCACCATGCTATTTCACACATCCATGTTTTGTATTTGCCTAAAGTGTCGCTCATCTTGTCATCCTCTTGGGGAAAAAAAAAACTGCCAATTTTCCTGGCCTCGACTCAGTTGCAAGCCCCACTCACGGACTCTACCCTGATATCTCCCATTCCAGGAAGAAGTGACCGCTCCCTACTTTGTGATAGAGAGATAGACAGAGTTGATAGCGACAGAGCTAGAGATGTGGATATATAGAGGTGACTCCTAGGACAATGTCTGCCACGACCCGAGAACACTTTTCTCCTTGCTCATACACCTGTCTGTCTCTATGAGACTCTAAGCTCTGGGAAGACAGGAGCCATGTCTTAATCCCCGTGGTGTTCCCAGCTCCTGGCACAGTGCCTAGCACACGAGTGCACGATTATGTGTGCATGCTGAATGAGAGAGTTATCCCAGCAAAAGATACCATACTCTGCCCAGCCTCCAAATACTTCTGTTTCTGCACTCCCTTCCCAAGCCAAAGGAGGTGCCGCAAGTCACCCGGGAAAGCAAGGCAGTCTGACAGGAGGCTTTTCTGTGTGGCACCAAGAAAGTCAACCCTACGGTAAACCCCGAGGGCAGCGGCACCTGGCACCAGCTGGCATGTTGATGTGAAATCACAGAGGGGGATGGGCCGGCACTGGAGCCACGGAAACAGTCCACTGTGTGTCACCATCTAACTCCTCCCCCCAGCAAAGCCGTGGACCAGTGGGCTCTCCAGCTCTTTCTATCACATCTGAACGAGCCCAGGCATCAGAGATGGGTGACACCTCTACTGGTGGGCATCTCTGCCCAGGGGCTGCGTCCACCTGAGATGGAGCACGGGTGTGAGAGCCTCAGCAGCCACAGGAGAAAGCAGGGTCCTTGCACCAGCACCTCTCTCCCTGGCCCTGTGACAAGCCTGTAACTTCCCAGGTGGCTAGAGCTGTAGGGGGCACAGGAGGATCCCCAGCCGACTCTCTTAGCTCAGGGAAAAGAAGACATCCGTCTATTCCTCTCACTCACACCTGTGGCCTTTTTAATTTGCAAATCTGCTCCCGTCACTTGCCTATTCCAAATTCCTCAGTGGCTCCCTATGGGATAAAATCAAATCACCTTCAAAAGGTTCAAAAGGAGCTTCCCAGACAAAAATAAACTCTATCATCACCAAGCCAGTGTTACAGAAAATGTTGGAGGGACTTCTTTAAGAAGAAATAACATGTATCAAAAACTGGAATAAAGAATGGTAATCAAAAACAGACTCACAAATATAGTGGACAATCTGGTGACAGACAGAGGGGAAGTGGGTTGGGGGGCTGGGAGAATAGGGTGAAGGATTAAAGAAGCACAAATCAGTAGTTGATAGCTGGTCACAGGGATGGGGAGCATGGCATAGAGAATGCAGTCAGCATTAATATGCTGGCTAAGTGAAGGGCCAGGGGAGGGAGGGAGCAATCGGGGGGATCGTTTTATGAACTATATTGAAGTCTAACAATGTACTGCATGCTTGAAACTAATTTAAATAAATAAATTTCTTTTAAAAAAAGGTTCAAAAGGCCCATGATGGCACCCTGGCCCTGCTTACCTTTTCAGCCTCCCACTCCCCTTGTACTTCAAACCCCATCCATACTGAACAGTGTACCTCAACCCCACCAGACTCCCCATGCCTCTGAGCCTCAGCACATGCCATTTGCTTGGCCTGGCACAGTCTTCTCTTTCTCTCTGCTTAGAACCCCCATTTCGCCTTCGGTTTTCAGCTCATCTCGCGGGGACATTTAGCCAGGCCTTCCCACAGCCTCCACTCTGCCCTTCATCATAGAATAGCAGACATAGTATCGTATTCACAGCATTGTATCAATTTGGCAACAGATGGTGGTCAGTCCTGTATTTTTCCTAGTGCTGTGTGACTGAGACAAGCCACTTAACCTCTCTGAGGTTTAGTTCCTTCTCTGTAAAATGGTGACAATAACTACTGTCTTATGGTACAAACAGATGATATTTATAAGGCCTCCACTGGAGACTCAACATAGTTCATAAATATGCAATGAATAATTTCAATGAATATTCATTGAGTGGTTAATGACAGTTTCACAAATGTCCGCATTGCCTTGGTCTGGGTCCTTCTTCAGAACGCTGGATGTCTAGTTCAACAGGTTCATAGTTAAGGTCCCACCTGCATAGGCTCACGAGACCTGCTCTGCAGGCCTCTATTCCATAGCCTGCTCTAAGGAGCTCTGTGACCTTCGTGGAGGATCTCAGTAATGGGATCCCTCAAGGCAAAGGGAAGGGGCAGTACTGCAGGTGTGGGCAGAGCCTGTAGGGCAGAGAAGGAAGTCGCTCTGCTCAGGGGGGGTCGAGAGAACTGGTCTCCACAGAGGAGGGGACATCGAGCTGGGACTGGGAGGAGGAGGAGCGGGCACTTGGCAGGCGTTGAGGAGAGAAAGGTCTAACCAGTTGAGGACCTGAAGAGCACAGGGAGCACAGGGCTCCCAGAAAAGTGAGCAGGTTCTAGAGGCCAGAGCCCCACTGAGTGCCTGTGGCTGCTTTGTTCGGTTTCCTTGGAGGGCAGATGTGGAAGGCGGGTGGCACGTAAAGCCAGAGAAAAGGGTCAGAGCAGGATCTTGAGTGTCCAGGATGAGAAATTTGGACTTCATCCTGTGAACGTGGGAAGCCGGCGGAAGGTTTCACATCAAGGAAACCAGCATTGGTTTGTGAAAGAAAACCGGTGTGCTTTTGAAGGACATGGTGGTAGAGGGAGGAAGGCTGAAGGAGGAGGTAAAGCTGGGGGGCGAGGCTGGGGTGGGAGGTGAGGCTGAGGGGAGGTGGGGAGGCTGCGGGGGAGGTGAGGCTGGAGAGGAGGCTGGAGTGGAGGAGGGAGGCTGGGGTGGCGGCGAGGCTGGGGTAGGGGGTAAGTCTGGGGTGCAGGGGTGAGGATGGAGACCAAGACACCAGTCAGAAGGCCAAGATAACGAGAGGAAAATCTACTAGACAACAGTCTTGATGAAAAAGAATGAGATTCAGAAAACAAACAGAATGTCTCCAGACAATTACTCTCTGAGCTTCCAACCCAGAGCTGCCCTGTCTGGGAGAAGAAGGCAGTCCTGGAGGAACCCTGTACGATGACTCCTGGCTTTCAGATAGCGAGCTTAGGTGATTTCTTCTGCTTTCAGGAATTGGTGTCTGTAATATAGGGGCTCAGGTCTCTTTCGGAGTGAGACAGCCTTCCACCTCTGTTTTATGGATGATCCTTCCACCCCTACCACCTGGACTGTGAGCACAAGCTTCTTGAAGTAGGTGGAAAGGGTATGACCAACTGTCCCAGTGTGCCCAGCGCTGTCCAGGTCTCAGCATTGAAAGTCCCAGGCAAATCAGGACAGTCGGTCACTGACTACAGGGGCTCAGGGCAGGGCTCAACTTGTCACAAAGCATTCACTTAATTCTGCTCAACAAGATAAGCCAAAGAAGGTGGACAGTGCTCTGTGGAAGTGGCTGTGGGTGGAAGGAAGGGTGGACAAGTGACCTGGGACCTAATCCTCTGTCAATCTCTTCTGACGGCTGGTTATCTTAAAACTTCAGAACAAAATAAGCCACTTTGTTCTCAAACACATCACCCCACCAGATGCATTTTTCTTCCCTGATGACCACAGAACACCCTGTACCTGGCCACTCTGGCCACTTGGTCTGAGACAGTCTTTGTGACAGAAAAGGTTCTGACTTCTGCCAGCACAGAGAAATCTGAGGTCTGAAGATACACATACCCAAATGAGCGATCTGGGGGTGCTGGAAGTGGGGTGTCCCTTTATCCTACAAATCACACTATTTTCATGGCCTATGTGTACACTCTCACTACACACACACACACACACACACACACTTTAAAATACTGCAGTTTGGGATCGGGAAAATGATAAAAATGTTAATTTAACATCTGGATGCCTTACAACAATGTCAGGAGACAGTCTCAAATCTGACAGCCTTGGCTGAACTGCCTTCTGGCGCCCTCCTCTCCCGAGTAACAGGTTGTTTTGAGCCTCCGGACCATCGCCCCTGGCTTGGATTCTCCAGTATAAATAGGTTACATGGAACCCTAATCATCACAGCCTTTAAACACACACACAACGCTGCAAATAAGTCATCTAAGAGCATCAAGCAGCGGCACTAACGGACCACAAGGAATGCCCTCCACTCCTGCCCACACGCTCCGAGCCTCCCAACATCTCAGCGGACACTTCCCAGAGTTGGGTCCCTGCGCACCTCCCAGGGCCCAGGTGACCCGACCACGCTTACCTTCTGGAGAAATGCCATCCTCGGCCTGTACTGCTGGCCTTGGTGTCGGATTGTCATCCTGGATCTTGGATGAATTCAGAACCAGAACACAAATGGGAAAGAAAAGGGAAAGCCCCCAAGTAAAAGAACCAGCGTGCCCCGCACACACCCTGGCGTGCAAGGGGAGGCAGAGAGACCCGGGGGCGCGGGGCGGGGGCGGCTGCTGCCTGCGGCGCCCCTTTACTCTCGCTCCGCTCACGCCCCTGGGAAAGCAGCTGGAATCAGCGCCAGCCAATCAGCGAGCCGCGCAGCGGTCTCATTAGCATACGCTGCGCTTGAGCCTACCTGCCGCCAGGGGGCGGTGCCTGGCTCTGCCGGGACCCCGCGGAGCCTCAGGTGGGATCCGCGTGTTCCGGACCCGCGAGGGGGAGGAACTGTCGCAGAGAGCGAGCCTTTCAACCTAGCACCGAGTACAGAAATGAGACAAGGCAGCCTCACTCTTAAGCGCGGTGGGAAACATAGTTCCTCTTCCATCTCTGCCACTAGCCTGCTGGGCAACCTTGGGCAAGTTCCTTAAAGTCTATAGGTCTCCATTTCCTTTATGTGAAAAGTAAAAATAAAAAGTAGGATAATAATAAACAACAGAAGGGTTGCTATACCGTTGAATGGGGAAATGTGTAACATAGTAGTTGGCCTGCAACAAATGTTTAGAAATGTTTAGGGGGAAAATCGTAAGTAGCATTGATGAGACGTTTGGTTAATGAAAGAAAGTGAAGAAAAACAGGAGCGAAGTTGTAGTCCCTGCCGGGCCAGCTGCTTGGTCTAGGCAAATTATATTTTACTTCTCTGGTCCTTAGTGTTTTCCAATCTAGAAAATGAAAGGATGACCCTCCTAGGTAATCGTCAGGACCCTTCACCTTTTGTCATATAAAGCACCTTTTCCTGTGTCTCCAAGTTGGACGGCTATCAATTGTAGCAGATAAAACGCATAAGTTGGAAGAGAACAAAGAGGGACTTGCCTCAGGAAGGCAGAGTCGACCAATGTCCCTTTAAAGCAGCGGTTCATCTCTATTTTTGGTGGTACATGACTGTAAGGATCTGATGAAAGCTATAGACACTCTCCAGAAACATGCCCGTGAGTGCATGTGCACACACGCACACTCATATTTACACAACGCTGACTCAAGTTTGCAAACATTTTCAAGGAGTTTATGGCTGGTCCTCTTTGGAACTTTCCATAGAATCAGAGAGACCCCCCCATCTTTAAAGGAGCCTGGACTCTGCAGGGGTCCATCACTGAGCAGTATGTTCCTGGCGTGAGCTGAGACCCAAGGAAAGTGTTGGAATATCCTGACTTTTTTTCGTGATGCATCTTAGGGCTTCGCGTTATACAGAACACACACTGGGATACACTGGAGCAGATGAACCAGGAGGCTCCTTCCAGCTTCAGCGTTCCTTAATGCTATAAACCCTAAGCAAGGAGGAGATAGGGGCTTTCCAAAGATCGAGGATGGGAAAACTTAAATTATTCCAGAGCAAAGAGGGGCAAAAATACAAGGGGCTTTGTTCTGTAGTAGGATAAGAGGCTTCAGAATGCCGGCCACTCTCCTCCCCACCCTTTCTTCTATCGGGTCCTACCCTCCAAACACTCGCATTTTGTAGAATCCACACTTAGCTCATCGGACCAGAGATGCTGGACGCGTGACCCCACAGCCAGTGGCCAGCCACGTGGATCTGAAGTGGTCCTGATGTGGATCTGAAAAGCTTGGATGAGCTTATTAGAGCATGCCTTTCAGAAATGTCAACGTGAGCCAACCAGAGGTAAAGTCGGGACCAGAGGAAGCGGAGGGCAAACGCAAGCTGAAGTCATGAGGAAGCAGAAATGAAAGGTGAGCAGAGGAAGCCAATCAGAAAAGAGAAATGAAAAGGTGAGCAGAGGAAGCCAATCAGAAAAGAGAAACGAAAAGGTGAGCAGAGGAAGCCAATCAGAAAAAAGAAACGAACGGACCGAGCAGGCTGAGAACAGCAAGGAGCCATGAGGTGGTCCTGTGCCTAGGGCTCACCAGGCTCTCGGCCTCTTCACAAATCCCCCCTCACATCCTGGGTCTTTGTTTCTTGCAACCAGAGGGCCTAACGTGTAATGTGCTGTTAAAAGTTTAGTGACCATGACCTGAAAACAATAATTGATTTCATTTTACCTATTCATTTAAACAACAAACATAGTATATGTCAGGCATTGTGCTAGAGTCAGGAATTCAAAGTGGAGTATGACGCAGTCCCCATCTCAAGGCGCTCACAGGCTCACGGGGAGAAGAACACTTGAACAAAAATGTCATAAAGCAGAATCTATATATAATGGCAATCCAGTCAATGCGATACAGGACTTCGTAGCAGGGCATCTTATCCAGTCTGCGTGCAAGAGAAGATCAGGGAGACTTCCTGGAGGAGGAGTCTTAAAGGACGACAGGGAGTTAACCAAGTGAAAAGGGATAAATACAGGTACATCACAGAGATCAGTACAAGAATAGGCACAGAAGCAAAGATAGGCATGCTTCGAGGATGGTGACAAGGATTTCATTTGATGCAAGGTCTAAGGAGGCTGGGAAGAGGGAGATGGGCAAGGATCAGACGGTGAGATCAAAACTCGTCCAACTGTCATCTTAAAATTGGAGCATGACATTGCATGTAAACCATACCTCAGAAAAAGGACTGACCCAAAAAGCAAATATTATCTTGCAATATGACAGAGGGACATAGTACTACAATGAAAGTCTCCCATGACTCAGTGACGTAAGTGAACATCCCGTCACCACTGCCATCGCTGTAATCATCAGTGTCCTCCTCCTCATCAACAGGAGGCTATGATTCAAGGCCTACACTGGGGTCACTATACAATGTGATCAACATGGACCTTGTCCCCTGTGGGATAAACCTCATCCAGGTACAAGGATGTGGTCATCCACACAGCAGTGCCCTTTAAAACCAAGATCAAAGGTCACCTCCACAGTCAAATGTTCCAATACCACTGTCAACTCAACAATTTCGTTCAGTGCACTGTGCTGAGTGCTGAGGAGATAGAGCTTAAAAAGACAGCAGGGAATCAATACCCGACCTCTGGTTCCTCCTGGTGCCTCCCATTGTTCAGTCTTGACCGGAAGCCAGAGGGTAATGGAGTCTGGGTGATGCAGTCTGTTAGCGTCAGCCTCCTGGGGCACAGAGCTGGATGGGAAGACAAAGGATTTGGGGTGAGAGGGACGATGGAGAGGCAAACCATGCAGAAGCAGCACAATGGGTTAAATGTCTTTGACAGCATGGAAGCCCGGAGGACAGGTCTCAGAGTTGATCCTGTGTCCCCAAGCACTTCGGACAACTCAGTAACAGCACCTCCTGCACCTGCACAGGCACCTCCCTGCCTGGACGGAAGTCACGTTGACAACGTCTGACTCCCTGGGCCACTGCTATCCTCTGCCACCTGTTTGCATTTTATATAATTCCACCTTGTCTGAATTTGTGACAAGCGGGTATTCCATTTGCAATTCTAAAAAATCATACAGAGGAAAGAAACACCTTAGGATGCATGCACGTTTCTTCCCAGCTGCTGCTAGAGAAGCAATAGCTCATGAAAATGTATTCGGGTAGGGACGCCAGAGGGCCCTGTTCTCTACCCAGCGAGCAGACAGGACCAGCCGACCTGCTGGTTTGACCAGGAAGAGAGAAAAGAAGAGCTCGAAGTTTTCTGGAAGGTTTCCTGCCTCTTCCTCATCCAGAAAATGTTCAGAGGCAATTTTGGTTCATGGGGGCCACCAACTATATCACAGAGTCAAGTCCTATAAAAACCTCATCCTTATCTTTTTTATTCTTAAGTAAATTCTTTGGACTCATCCAGAGATAATACTTTTCACAAACATTGCCAGGGGGGTAAACATAGGTAAATAGAATAAAATCTCACTTTGCTCTGTCCCCACCCACCCCCAACTCCTTGGGGGTACAGTTCTGTCTACCTACAGACCAGTTCAGATTGGATATGCTGAATGGCATCTGCTTCCTTTGTGTTAAGGGTGTTATTACTTTTCATTATATAAAATTTGGAACTATAGAGTTTTTTGAAAATGACATTATGGGAAAAGACATTTTCACAACTTGAAACAGGCTTTGGTTTTAAGACAGTGCTGGGGTTAAGGGGAAGTGTGAAGGCACAAAATGTGTATTCTGGTTCCTGCTCTGCCTCTGACCTGATATGTGACTTTTTTTTTTTTTAACAGCTTACTGAGGTATAACTGACATACACTCAACTGCACATATTTAAAGTGTATAAATGATAAGTTCTGATATATGTACACACCTCTGAAACTACACCCATGGTCAAGGCAGAGAGCATACCCACCTCCCCTCAAAGTTTTCTTGTGTCCTTGTTGCTCACTCCCCCTGCCATCCCCAGGAAGCCCACTGATCGACTTTCTGTCACTGTGAATTAGTTGGGGGAGAGGGGTGACTATGATCACGTTACCTAATCTCTGACTCTCCAGTTTCTTACTAGTAATAAAAAAGTATCAGACTTGATGAATTCAAGTCTCCTATTTTAAAATCATGACTTTAGTATTTTAAGTAGAGTAAAAAGCTCAATCAACCCAAAGGCTGACAGAGTAGGATTTAGTGCTCCTGATAAAATGAGGTCCCTCTGGACTTAGACCAGCCACCCACAATAGGATCCCATGGGACAGACATTCAAAAGAGCTGAACACCACCATGGACATACCCAAACCATTCCTGCCACAGTGATCGCAGAGGGTCAGGGTGAGGGACAAGAAAGACCCCCACCAAGAAAATGTCATACTCGGTGCACTCCACTTGTATAGTCTTACTGAAGTCCCCTTCTCTTGTCAAACATGCCCATCCTGCTAAGGATGTTTAAACTGAACGCATGCCAGCCTAAGGAGGTTCCTCTACTGACCTTCAGATGTTGCCCCTGCCTGTGTAAGGTGGCTCAGGCACCAAGTCCTGGGTGCCCAGCTCCACCTCCCGCTTCCAGCAGCCATCACCACCCTTCGTGAACAGCCCAGAGGTCAACAGAGAGCAAGTTTCCTTCTTAAGGTTTTCTAAAGCAAGGGATTTTCCAAAGGTCTGCCCTTTCTGCTTTTCCCCTTGGTTTCCCCAGGAATAACAATGTCTGGAAGGATACAGGAAGATGACTGATACAGGAAATGCGAAGAAAATAAAAACATTAACCCCTGCAAGAATTTTTTTTTTTAACATCCATAACTTCCACTTTATTTAGATGTTGCATTTGAAGATTTATTTCGCCCATGCTCATTTCTCTTTGCTGTTGTGTGTGGATCTAATATTGCTTTCTCTGTCTTCTCTCTCTCTTCTTGGATGGATGGATGGATGGATGGATGGATGGATGGATGGATGGACAGATGGCTGGTTACATCATCTGAACCTTGGAAAAGCCAGTTCTGCTCCTTCCTTCCTCTATCTTTGGTAGACAGCCCTTCTGGATTCAAAATTCGAGCCACTCTACAGACACAAAATTTAGTGTTTTGTGAAAAGTACAAAACTTTAGGGGAGGAATGAATGATGGGGAGTGACCGCTAATAAGTTAGAATTTTATTCTTGGGTTGATGAAATGTTCTGGAATTTGATAGTGAAGGTGGTTGCACAACCTTGTTAATATACTAAAACCAATGAATTGTACACTACTTAAGGGGAGGGGGAACAGGGGAAGGGAGAGTGCACGCGCCAGTAGTTCTGCTTTTATTGGGGGTTTCTCAGGCTCACACTTTATTGGTTAATTTAAAACATGAGAGCAGGAATTTAGAGAGCAGGAAGAGAAAACAAACAAGTATCACAATTGGTCAGCAAGAGCTCTAAAACAAAGGAGCGTCAGAGGGTGGGGAGGGGAGGCCACCTGACTCTTTATCTAGCCGTGTGGCTGACAAAATGTTTACTGAGATAGCTGTCTTTGAAGTGGATTCCTTGGCAATCAAAGCTTAAGTCAGGCACTTGCATTACAAAAAAAAAAGTCAGAGCTTACATTACAAAGGTATTTCCAGGAGAAAAGATAGAAAATATAATTCTGGGCTAAGGCAGGAGATGATACTGAAGTATGTGGAAGGCGAAAAGAAAAGAAAGGAAAGGAAAGGTGATAAGAGCCTGCTCAGAGGCACAGAAGTAGGAAATGATAATAGTAATATATACATAAGAGGCATTAGTACACCTGTTCCCTTCATGCAGTTCTGACTACAACCCTCTGAGGTAGATATCTATGATTGGCATTCCCACTCAACAAATGAGTAAACTGAGACTCAGAGAGGATAAACAACGAGCTGAAGTTCACCTGCCTATTAGGCAGCAGAGCCATCGGGATTGGGACCAGGCAGCCTGGCCTCTGATTTCATACCTTACCTCGAAGCCACGCTCGGACATTCTGATTGACAAGGCCTGAGTCAGGTCAGGCGGTCATTCCACAAGTAAATTGAGAGCTCGCTGTGTTTCCTACAGACAAAAAATAGTGTTGAAATCAGAAAAAGAAGAAAACCGAATGTTGTACAAGCAAAATCAACAGTTGTCCATTGTAAAATCACTTCAGAAATGCTTTTCCGTTCTCTTAGATTATTTGCTTGGGACACATTTTCTACGGATGGTCTCTCATGGGTCGGAGCCTGAACACGTTAAATGGCTTTTGATGTAGAATGTCGAGTAGTTTTTTTCAACAGGATTGCATATTTACATTCTGTTTGCCCAGAATGAACTAATTTCACCACAGCTTTGTGTTGGATGCCATTATGTTTTTCAAGGCTAGACAATTCTGATTTTACTAGATTCTGTATTTATATTTGCATAATTTTCCCTTTCTGTTTTGAGAGCGGAAAATCTAAATAAGAGAGTATATAAAAATTGGTTAACACGAACCTCTGAATCAACAGATGAGCCACTTGGGGCCTCGGGGGTGAGAGGAAGGACAGGTGTGCCCACTCATCCCTGCAGTACTGGGGGACAAGCGGGCTAAGTCTGTGAGAAAAGAGCGGCAGGTCCAGGCCTAGCCTGGGGTTCAAGCTGAAAAGATACTTCAAATGCAAAACTTTTTTTTTTTAATTTAGGGTCATTTTAGCAATGTTACTGCATGAAAGTTTTGGGACGCCCTACCGTGTTCCTCTACATTTCTTAAAAATCTTGATGAGGGCAATTTCCAACTCTCTGCTAGTAGTGCCGCCAGGCGGACACGGGTAGGAAAGGGCAGGAATGTGTGACCCGAAGACATTTATCTGCGTTCTACCCCGCGATGCCGGGAGCCGCCCCCTTTCTGCCCCGCCGCAGGGTTTTGCGAGGTCTAGGCCATAGAGATACGGATCCCTCCAATCTCCTAGAGAGGAAACGTAGGCTGCCGGAAGGCGGACTTCCGCCGGCGGACCACTTCCGGTTCCGCCCTACCCGCCCCAGGCCGTTGAGTGCATAGGCATCGGGTGGTAACTTGGCGGGCTTCTTTGTACACATGTGCTCCGGGTTCACGGGGGTCGTGTGACGTCGGCGCGGGCCCCAGAAGCCGGGCCGGGTCCTGTTCCGCGGACCCGCACGACTTGCAATTGGAGGGCGGGGTAAAAGGCTTCACGGAGGGACCACCTTGAAGCTATGGCGCCCGGGTCCCTTTCCCCGTAGTGATACCTTCGAATCGGTACCCGGATACCCAGAACTATGGATTTGTTTCCTTATTATAATTATTCGAGGCCAACTGGCTCGTAAAAAGTAATAGTGGCGCCTCAACTTAAAAATACATAATTCAGGGCCTGTTTTCATGTATCTGAGGGAATTACTCACTTGTCACTTAAAAAAGTAACAAAAAAGAAAGTACCTTTGTTTTTTGAATTGTGGCCAGATTCGAGAGAGTCAGGTTAGTCTATGAGGAACTGTGGCCCTGAGAGAAGAATGGGGTAAAGGGATATGCAGAATGCAATTTGGAGAAAGGACCTGAAGGTACCGCGGTGGAGAAGGTCGGAATGACGTGGAATCACGTTCTCTTACCAAGGAGAAATGGGACTCTCGCGAATGTAGATTACTTGCAAAACACTATCTGGGTTCTTTCTGTTCCAGGGCAGTCACTTGTCACAGGAGCTAACTGCCTAAACTTTTGAAAACGAAAACAGGCCCTAATTCTGTATTTTTAAGTTGGGGTGTCAATTTTTAAATGAGGATGATGTCTGCCATCCTATCCTATTGTGTGTGATTGTGCAGTGATATGTGTTTCGTGAAATGGATTTACTTAGTCTTTTTTTTGTTGATTAATATTTGTTGATTAAGATTGTCTTGGGGAATGTTTCACATAAAAAAGCTTTAACCATGATGGGTTCCTGAGGGGAAAATAAAAGATGGAAAGATAAATCAGGGATTTGAACTATGGTTTCTTAGCACAGTTAATAATAGAATATTAATCCGTTCTGAGAAGTTCTGCAGTAATGGAACTCTTCTAACTTTGATTAGCCTGGTGTTTCTCAAGTATTTTGACTAGAAAAACTTCAGTAAGAGCCTATTAATATCTCTGCAATGTGGTTTTCCCCAGAACACATTTTGGGAAATGCTGACATAAATAATTCACCTGGTCTCAGACCTACTCACATGGCACTCTCACTTCTCAAAAGGCATTTCAGAACTACTTTTTGAAAATCATCTGACTGGATTTCAGTAAGGATAGTTCTCATTTTATAAACGTTGGAGAAAAGCGTCCATAATTAATAAAGTACTACAAGCCACATAACATTTAGAAAAGGAAGTGAACCCTCCTTACCCTTCCTCCTACATACTATCATGGGCAGAAGATAATGTCTCAAAATTACTGAGCAAATATTACCGATATACAATTATAAAACAATGGGAATAATTATTTGGAAGAAATTAATTGTTCCAAGAGGAAATTCTACAAATTCAAGACAATGACAAACCTAGGAAATTTGTTCATGGACTCTACAAGGACCCATTTTAGTAAGGTAGGGTTACCATTTTCTCCTATAAATAGAATGTAGCTAAAAAACATTTAAGTGCGTTGTAGGCACTGAGTGACATTCAATGGAAACGTACCTTAACATTATAGAATAAAATTTAGTGCAAGGATTGTCTGGAACTTCATTCAAGATTGTTTAGTTACTGAAGTAAAAATAGAAGCTCTTAGTGAGGTCGTTTCACATGTTTGGCACAAACCTCTGTCAAGGAGAACTTTAAGTGACCTATTGATAGGTTACTAAACTTGCAGTTTCAAGCAAGACCTGCCTAAGGATGATGGTAACATGTTGGAGTGTCCCTGTTCCAGTATCTGGTCCTTCACTCTATAGGTCCGGAAACTTCATTTCATTAGTTTGCACAGAGGTAAGCAGGCTTCAGAAGATACACTAATGCTACCCAAACTCAAAAAGTACTGCTGTATAAAGCTAGAGTGTGAGTTAAATACTCTCTAGTGAAAAATATAATTATCAATCAGCTGGAGAATTTTATTTGCCAACAGTGTGTTCCTTCTTGAAAGAAGATCTACATGAGAGTCCAGATTCTCATACTACAGTATATTATGTTGGAGACACATAGCATGAAATCGGAACAATGAGAATGATATCCAAGTTTAATGTCATCAGGTGTTTTCACTCTACAGATGGGCCTGTCAGGTTGGCTAGATACTCATTTTCATGAGTGAAAAGCACTCATTTTGGTGCTAGAGGCAGGATGTCATTTTGTCTCTGATCATCCTTTTCAGAAATGTTCTCCCCAAATCTTTCTCAAGCTAGAGTACAATGCAATTGACTCGGTTTAAAGTTTTCTGTTTACAGCCCCTATCCAGCTGTGCCTCCCTGATGCTGCACCTAGGTCACCAAGTTTGGATTTGGGGTCTTCGTAAACAGTGTCTTGAGTCCTTTCTATTGACGATTGATTTCATTCTATATATTTGGTCTCTTTCTAAATTTTAGGTAGCTGTTGGCCCCATTGTTGGTTCAAAACCTTGAGAGTTTCCTGGGTGAAATCTGAAACTCCCCCATACATGGAGGGCAGGGGAGACTGAAGAAAGTGCCAATTCACTCCATGTTGGTAGGTGGCAAGTTTACTACGCGCTAGAACTTACATTCAAGGTTTTCTTGGGAGACCACAAGACAAGTTGATGTCCACACCCACCGCCAGTATCTTAAAAGTTTATGTAGAGGCCCTGACAGGATTCACTCCCATACTATCCACATGGTCTCAACAACACATTGCTCTTTCAAGGCTAAATTGTTGGAAATGGCTTCCACTGTGGGGACAGTGGGCAGAATGTACATTCAAAGGACAGGGGAGGGGGTGAGGAGACTCGGTCCAGCTCAAGGGTGAACTGGCAGTCATATCCTCTCTATGATCTCCATGTGCACCCATTTAACACATCCAAGAACCAGGACCTATATAAATCTACTTAATAACCTTTCCTCTGTGACGTTGTACATGATCTTAAGAATGACTGCACATAATTTGCTAATCAAATATTGCTCATCAATTCCATAAGATAGTCACATTTGTCTACCATTGAGATACAACTATCATTAGCCTTGTCGCTTTTAGGTATTTTCTCCATTTCTAATTATAAATTCCAAGAGTAACTGGCTTTGTGTATATTTTACATATGTTTCCAACAACCAGTTGTCATTTATCTACATTGGTAATCATTTAGTATACTTGAAAAGTGCCTCTAAAGAGGAACCACCGGGAATTGGAGATTGATTGATTGTAGTGTGACCACAGTCAGGCTTTTGACCTGGTCCAAGTCTCAGTTTCTTCTTTAGTGGAATGAGAGGGTTGGCCTGGGTGACCTCTAAGGTACCTTTCAGCTCCTGCACTTCCAGGGAAAATATCCAGGGACAGCTGAGTCAGAGTGAGTCAGAGCAGCTGAGATACAAGGAGAAGACACGCCTAGACCTAGAGCAGAAAGCAGAAGTGAGACCTGATGCAAACCCTCCCTGCCTTTACCAGCTTTGTGACCTTAGGCAAGTTACTTAACTCCTCTGAGCTTCCATTTTCTTATTTGTAAAACTGGAAAGTAATAGTATTTTATTCACAGAATTGTTGTGAGGATTAATGAGCCGCTGCATATAAGACTGGCGGAGAACCTGACAATAGTATATGCTTAATGAATGGTGACGGCTGAATTTAAAAGAGAAGGAGAGGGAGATGGGGAGGGAGGGAGGAAAGAAGGAAGGGAGGAAGGTCTGATGAAGACAGCCACCTAGCGCAAAGTCACATTTCTTCAGGAAGCCATCTGCTTGAACATCAATGAATGTGTTCATATCATGCAAAATCCTACTTCTTTAAACAAAATTTAATGATTTAATGTACATGTACCACATTTTGTTTGTGAAAACATACAGAGAGATCTGTACATGTTCGAGTTGATTTTATATTTAAATAAAAATATATACATATGACATTAATCATAATGCATTTTCCTTCGATCCCCCTTGTCTTCATTCAGTATTCTCAGCTGATGTTTTCCAGGCTCTTTACCCTCACCCCATAAGAGGCATTATGGCGTTCCCCAATTTTATGATCGAGAATGGCTTGAATAGGGAATGGGGATAAGAGAAAGGCGAAATATTTGGGCCAAATATAATTTTTCTGCTAAATAATTTGATAAAACAACCAGCAAATATTTTTAAAATAATTTCCTGGTCACAACAGTCCAGAGAGAATTTGTTGTCAATTAGTCTGCAGAATGAAAATGAAGGATCCTAATCAGAAACATGGAAATGCAAGGAGGAATGAATAATACCAGAAAGAATAAATATATGGATAATTATTAATGAATAGTAAATGTCAGCCCGACAATTACCATGTCTTTTGGAATGTAAATATATGCATAGAACTAAAAATGTACAACAACAACACAAAATGAAGAAGGGGATAAACTATTAGGAAGCTAAAGTTTTCTAAGGTTCTAGCAGTACTAGGAAACTGGTAAAATTAATAATTTGTTACATGTCTTTTAACTTCTAAGTTAACTAAAAGAAAATAATGTATAACAACAGAATAAATAACCTACAAGTTTGGGGTACAGAATAGAGTAAGAGATAAAGTTGTATTAATCCAAAAGAAGGCAAAAAGGAAGAAAAAAAAGAACAAAACAGATGAGTCAAATAGAAAGCAAATAGTAAGAAAGTAAGAATAAACCCAACTATATCAAGTAATTACATGTAAATGGACTAAACAATCCAAGTAAAAGACTGAGATTAGATAAAGAAACAAAACCCAATTATATGTAACTTTTGAGAAACAAATATATGGAGTCAGAATGATTAAAAGGACGAGAAAAGACAGCTTATACAAACTCTAGCAAAAAGAAATCAAGCATATCTA